GTTCTTTACTCAGAGAGTAGTAAGGGTGTGGAATGCCCTGCCTGCAAAATCCCTCTAACACACCGTACGCCTTCTTAACAACCCTATCAACCTGGGTGGCAACTTTCAGTGATCTATGCACATGGACACTGAGATCTCTCTGCTCATCCACACTACCAAGAATCTTACCATTAGCCCAGTAGTCTGTATTCCTGTTACTCCTTCCAAAGTGAATCACCTCACACTTTTCTGCATTAAACTCCATTTGCCACCTCTCAGCCCAGCTCTGCAGCTTATCTAGAGGAGAAAGTCAAAGGATATAATGAACAAATGACAAGATGTGGGATTAGAAAAAGGGATAGAGACAGAGGGAAGGGGAAGAATAATCTAAGAGGTTACAGTACCTGTGGGTTTTTTGATCCATAATTCCTCTGCACTGTCCCTCCTCTGTTTGGAGATCCAGGAGGACTGAAAGAATGACTTCCTGCCATCATAAAAAGGTTTTATAGTGAATCCCAGGTCTTGCTGATGCACCTGGTACACTGCCAGTCTGAGCTGGTCCTTTGCTCTGCACCTCCTGAGTTGCCCTTTTGCTCTGCAGTTCTGTTCCTGAGTTTCCATGCAACATGGTAAAATTGTTAGCCTCCTCTCTTCTTTCAGTAAAGGTTTCCACTCCAATAGAAGGCAGTTCTACATTGGCTAATCTTCCCTTCAGAGTCTGAGGCTTTTCCTGAAAACCATTACATTTGAATTGTCAGGACCTGACATCCGAGATCCCAGTCTGTCATGTGTTTAATATACAAGGTAACAGTTACTGTAAATCCATTCAAAGCCATGAAAATGCATTCGAATGAGCTCTTTGACTTACCTCATTTACTTTCCCACCACAGATATCATGCAATCCAGAGTTTCTGGCATCAGCAGTCTGAGAAAATGCCTCCAGAATGACCTATGTTCTTCCCACCCTCCACCACACCCTGTTCCATTTTCCATTGGGTTCTACTAAATTCTGCCATTGAATGCCATCTGCTAAAGCTTTGTCCATTCATTTATATATATCCATGTCCCTTTGCAAATTTATGATCTCATCTACCCTACTAACTAAGATCTAAATGAGTGCTATCAGCAACTTCGATACACAGATCTCTTCTCCTTCATTTAAGTCGTTGGTACAAACTTTGAAAATCTGAGGCCCCTATGCAGTTCCCTGGGACTAATTGTACTCTTGCAATTGCAGCACATACCCACTAACTCTCTTCGTATTTTTGTTTGCTTGAAACCTGTTACTTTTACCATAATTTGGTATTTTTACAGTTACTTCTACTTTATTTTCTAAAGGCATTCTGAACATTGCTACAACTTCCCAGTTGATGTAATACTGCTGTAGAATATTTACTTTATTAACATTTCAGCAATTTTAAACAGAGCCATATGCTTCTCATTGGTCCCCAAGAGTGAATCATAATCATCCAGATATATTTTTCTTTGATTGCAACAAAACCTTTGACATTGCTATTGTATACAATAACTTTCCATTCAACCAACTATAAGCTAAAATGCAAAAGTTAGTTAAACCACAAACATATTTGTCTAATGAATTGCAAGTTATTATTGAAAAATATTTGTCCATTATTTTTCAGTGTTTTCAGTTTTCCCAAGAGTGTTCAAGTAGGAAATTATTTGCTAATTTCTTTACTAACTAGATATGTGGATTGTAATGTTCATCTTTGCTACCCTGTTAAGGCAAGTGGACTTGCATAGAGAATGTTCAAGTAATAATTCGTAAATGGCTGTTGATCTAGTGTAATTATAATTGTACATCTATTGCCTTTACTTTATATCATCTTCAATGGTGGGGGTTTTGATTTAGAGTTGATCTTTGTTAACAGGGATAGCTTATCGGCCATAACTTGTTGGGCAGTGGAAAGGTTCGGTTACATTGAAAGTGTGGCATGTTGCACAGGATAATAAGTGAGCTTCTGTATTAATGTTGATATTTAGAAGAATATGAGCATTGTGAATGTGAACACATGGTGCCTGTTATGGCTGCATACTCAGCCCCTTACTGTATGCCTTATACACCCATGACTGTGTGGTCAAATTCAGTTCTAACTCCATTTACAAATTTGCTGGTGACACTACCATAGTGGGTTGGAACTCAAGCAATGACGAGAGAGTGCACAAGAAAGCAATAGTTTAGTGGCATGGTCTAAAGACAACAATCTCTCCCTCAATGTCAGCAAAACAAAGGAACTGGTCATCAACCTCAGGAAACGAAGGGGAGGACATGCCCCTGTCTGTATCAATGATGCTGAGATGAAGATGGTTGAGAGCTTCAAGTTTCAAGGACTGATGATCGCCAACAATCTGTCCCCGTCCATCCACATCGACACTACAGTCAAGAAAGCACATCGACGTCTCTACTTCCTCAGAATGCTAAGGAAATTCAGCATGTCAACAATGACTCTTACCAATTTTTATAGATGCAGCATAGAAAGCATCCTATGCGGATGCATCACAACTCAGTATGGCAACTGCTCTGCCCAGTACCACAAGAAATTACAGAGTGTTGTGAATGCAGCCCACTCCATCATGAAAACCAGTCTTCCTTCCATTGGCTCCATCTACATTTCCCGCTGCATTGGGAAAGCAGCCAACATAATCAAAGATCCTTCCCACCCTGGTTTATACTCTCTTCCATCTTCTTCCATCAGGCAGAAGATATAAAAGTTTGAAAACACATACCAACTGATTCAAGAACAGCTTCTTCCCAGCTGTTATCAGACTTATGAATGGACCTCTCACATATTAGAGTTAATCTTTCATTGCCCCTTGTCTGTAGCTGTAACACTACATTTTACATTCTGTTCCTTTACCATGGTGCACTTATGTAAGGTACAATTTGTCTGACTATATGCAAAACAATACTTTTCACTGTATCTCAGTATGTGACAATAATAAATCAAAACCAAATCACTGACTTTATTATTTCATGGATGGAGAAATATAATGTATCACACTAAAGATTAACTTTTAATCCTTCATGTATCAACTTCAAATTCACTCTATCCATTTAAGTCTCTCTGTGACCTTGGCTACATCTAACTTTGAGACCTTATCCTGCCTTTCTTCCTAAGGTGCACTTTTTTTCTCCTAATAAAGATCTATTGTCCTATATATTATTGTAGGGTATAAAAAACCCACACAAATCTGCTCTGCTTCCAAAGTTTCCTGATTGGTGCCCTCATCAACATTTCTCTCTCTAACCCCATCAATAAAACAAATATGACCATTTATCTTCCTGTTGTGTATAAAACTGCTACACGTTTCTCTAGATCATTTGGCTAAACTTCACAATTAATTTATTGGCTGTAAAACTTTTGGGTGCATATTCTGATGCTATATAAATGCAATTCGGTTTGTTTTATTCTCCTGACTTCCACTTTTATGTTTGTTTTTATTTCTGTGAATGCTTTGAAACATTTTGCTGCATTTGTATCAAATGCTGTATTCTCAGTCACTGCCCAATTACCAATTTCTGTTGTTGAGTAGTCTGTTCACTGCTGTAATAAATGAGGCAGAATCACTGCATCGCTATCTCCCATTATCTCCTGCCAACTTTCAAAAACCTCATTTGAAACATGTTCTAGAGCTGCTCTCCAAATTAAATCCTTCCTCCAAATTCCAGGTCAAAACATCTCAGTGAGTGTCTTACATACAAGTTGTAAGACACAAACAGCCAATTAACTCAAACTGTTCGTATTGCACAGAACTCCAAAGAAATCCCAGCAAAGATTTCTATCTACTCACTATTACATTTCAACTTTTACGGGAGCTACTTCTTCGTATAGAACCCGGTATTTAATTAGCTTTTATGATATCTTCACCTAATTGATGAATGCTTTCTCAGCTTGTGCCTGTAAATCTCTCTTTCAGCTTTCTTTTACTCAATGTATAATTCGTACTTTTGAAACTAAATTGTACGGCTTACTACCGCCTAAATATTTGGCCGTTTCTATATCTCTTGCGTCATTCATTCGTCTGAACAGAAGTACTGAATCATTCCAAACATCGCTGTCCACCTAAGAAAATCCCCTTGAGTCCTATTCTCTGCTTCATCTGTACAGTCCAATCTGCCATCCTCGCCCACACCCACACCATGCCCTCCCAAGTCTTGGACACAGGCTATCCGACGGTCCCATCTCTACCATAGCCACTGCATGTCCCTCCCTGATCTGACCACCCGGCAAACCTCTCAAAAAGAAACTGGTCCACTTAGAATCGCGAAACAAAACTTTTGGGCTTTCAGTTTCTCCATGGCTGGGCAAGCGAAGCAAAAACAAAACAAAAAAAACAGTGCATTTCCAAGAACTGCGCAGCAAAGGTTGAGACCTTGCAAGTTTTATTTTTTCGAAGAGAAGTAGACAAACGGAGAGAGGGGAAAACAAACAAGCGTCTATGCGCTTTAACCTCTCAGGAATGGAGCTCCCCTCTGTAGCAGAAATGTTGCGAAAACCCTGACAGACAACCCAACGTGCTGGCACGTCCCCGCGTCTCCGATTGGGTGTTCGGTGGGCGGGCTCTTACCTCCGGCGAGGAGGCTCGCCGGCCTTGGCTGTCAATCGGGTGACATCACAATGCCCGGGGGTGCCGGGTTCGGTTGAGTGGTCGCGACTGCTTGGTTGTTTCGCTGAGTCTCAGCTGCCGGCTCTCCTGCTTCTGCTGCTGCTCCCACCGCAAAAGTGAGCGTTCACCCAGAGGCTGAGCGGCTGCTGCGATGCGCTGGAAACTCCGCTGTCTTTTCCTGGCAGTAGCATGGCTCTTCGTGGCCGCCTTCCCAACGCGCAGCGCTGCTTGCCCGAGCCGGTGCCTTTGTTTCCGCACCACGGTGAGGTGCATGCATCTCACGCTGGAGCACATACCTGCTGTCTCCCCGCAAACGACTATCTTGTAAGTATGTCTTAAACACACCCATAAACACAGGCTCGGCGCTGACCGACTTTGCTGCCGTCGCCTTGAGAGATCAGATGCAGCAGCAAATCCGAGCCACTCTGCTCGATTGATGCTTGCTGTTGAGGAGTAGGTGTGCAAACGTTGTGTATGTTTGCTCATTCGACACTGAAGTTAGTTTGAAAACATTTCTCCGAGGTTGTAGACTCGTTTCTGTCCCTCTTGCATCTGTGGATTGTCTTTCTGATTTTGCAGAGGTCGGTGCACTCTATAGATTGGGAGGTTTCTGTCTTTCGCTCTAACCGGAGCCATACACGTAACTGTCAGTACTTAAAGCGTTTAACAGATTTTAGTTTGCGAGGAAGCTGGTGGAATACCGAAGAGCTGCTGATAAATGGGATGTGCTAAAACCGAGCCAGAGGTATTGTTGAGTGGAAAATATAGGCACGGCACATCTGGATGACTGGGAAGCTATTTGAGGTGTTATCCTATGATCTGAAGCCACATTTTAAATCAAGAGGCAAAAAAAGGGGAAAAACCTTGCATGTAACTATTTAGATTTCGTTGCAAGTACAAAATCTCATCTAGGGCCGCCTGCCAGAGGTCGCTTGGAGTTAATCACTTCTCTCTATTCACTCCGATTCGACCCATTGACCAAGTGAACCCGCTTTCTGTTTGGTGAAAACAAAAGTAATGTTTTGTGCCTGACCTGGAAACTGTGGGCAACTGGATTGAAATCAGTCAAACATATAGGTGGCAGCTTTTCAAAAATTCTGAATAAACGGTTACTTGGAAGAAAGAGAAGTTATATTTAATAGCAAGTGCTTCCAAAGAGCAGCGGATTGTATGTTTTTTTGAATTGTCGCTGAGTTGTGGCTCACTTTTGGGAGTGGGGAAGAAATTGGAAGGCGTAATGGAAACGTTACGGGTTCAGGAAGCACTTTTTTTTGCATCGAAGTGCTGTTGCACATTTCCAGAATGACTGGACTTCATTCCCACAATGGAATACAAATACTGGTATCGAATGTTCAACGGGAGGGGGCAGGGATAACTCTCCTGTTTGCGTTACAGCTTAAACACGGGCTGCCTGTTAGAAGGATGCCTTGTTAAGTTTTGAGTGCAGATCAAGCCATGCCTTAAATCCGATATCTATAATTTTGCCTTTTTTACTGGCCTGGGAGGGAAGTGTTTCCCCTCTGTAACTGCTCTTAACCCCCTGCCCTCTTGGGGACTCTAGAATTTGTTTCACTAAATATACATTGATTGGATTGATGCTGTCTTTCTGGCGAGGGCAAAAGGTTAATAATATGTTTTGTGACCGAGTTTGAGGTAGTTTATGAGTCATGCTTTTTTCACTTATTAGAAAGAGGGATTAAAATGAGATTTTTAAAAAAATGCCCCTTATTGACCAAAAAAAAATTTTGTTGGGATTTAATAGGAGACACATTTGACATGCTCATGCTTCATTCATCTTTGGTATCTTCCTTCAGGTGAGTTGACCATATTCTTTGTGCCATTATTATAAGTGATTGGACATTGTTTTAGACTTTTCAGGGAGTTGGTGGTCTAATGGCAGAGTCACTGGACAAGTAATACATAATACTAGGCTAATTTTCTGAGCACATGGATTTAATACCGAGATATTGGGATGTAATACCACCATGCTAGATGGTGAAATTTGAATTAAATGAAAAAAATCTAGAATTAAAAAAAATCTAGCCTAATAGCGACTGTGTGACAGCTGTTAACAAAACCTATCTGGTTCACTAATGTATTTTTGGGAAAGAGATCCACCATCCTTACCTGGTCTGGCCAACATGTGACTCCAGACCACAGCAACGTGGTTGATTCTTAACTGGGCAATAAATATTGGCCTTGCCAGTGATGCCATGTGCAAATAAAAAGACCAATTTTTTTTTATCCATTGCTATCAAACACCATAAAGACCAGCTTTATTTGTCAATTTGTTTATATTGACTTTAATTTCCTGACCATGAAGGATTCTCCTGTCTTGAACATTGGATCAGAATGTAGTCAAGGTCTCCTCACTGGGAAGGAGCAAACCTTTCACTACCAGCACCTTTAGGTATATTTAATGTGTGATCAGATGAAAATGATGTCCAGGAAAGGCCAACTGTCCACTAGCCTTTCGCACAATCATGCTGACAGGAGAATCATGACCAGATATTTCCTGCCTCTACGAGTAATTGGAAAGAGAAAAAAAGTCAGTAAGAGAATCGAGGCCCAAAGGTTGTGGAGGGAATTGTGCATTGGAGAGGGAGATGTGGAATATTTCTCTCCTATCCCCTTGGGCAAACAAAAGTAACCAGATGACCACATTGACTGGACTTGCATTGACTTTGCGATCAATTAATTGCCTTTTTAGTAAAAGTCACCTCAATCTTTGTCCAAAACGTATGTGTTTTGAAGATCTTTAGAGATGCACTCTAAAAAAGTGGCCATGTATTCCAAAAGTTCAACATTCTCTTTGAAAGGGAGAATCATATCATCAAATGCCCCAGGAACTTGCCAAGTTAGATTGGGCAGAGTGGAAATGGGGAGCAGAGCTGGGGGTGGCTGTGAGATGAGGTGGGGGAGAGAATTGTGGTGCAACTGTAGAGTTAGACTTTCAAATGTCAAGTGAATGTAGCAGCTCATCACTGAACTTTCTAGACTTCTTGATGGCAAATGAATACCGAGCAAGATATTTTGTGGTGTAATTTTAATTAAATCTACCATTGAATGAAAATTTTGCATTTTACAGCTAACACAATGAAAATGATCTTGTTTCATTGAAGCAATGTAAAATATACATGCACAACATTTCTTTGTCCTAACATCAAGGTAGACCTGAATGGTGGAAGGATTTGGTATAAAGTCGGTCATCAACACCTTTGTTTTCCATGGAAATAAAATAAAGAACTGGGGACGCTGACAACCTGAAACAGAAACAGAAATTGCTGCAGAAACTCAGCAGGTCTGGCAGCATCTGTGGAGAGAAAGCAAAGTCAATAGTTCGAGTTCAGTGACCCTTCTTTAAAACATTGACCTTGCTTTCTCTTCACAGCTACTGCCAGCCCTGCTGAGTTTCTGCAGCAATTTCTGTTTTTGTTCCGTTTTCTACGGTGTGCCTTGGTCTTGTCCATCTTCTTGGAAGTTTGGTACAGAGCTGGTTTTACATTGAAATAATTACATTTTCATTTTACATTCCAAGTTTTTGCATTGGTCATTCAGAAATGTATTCTGAAAAGAGTGATGGGTATTTTTTGCTGTGACAATGTAACCCTGATATCTTTTGCTCTGCCAGTAATGCTGCATTAAATTGCAACTCCTTGTTGGTATGTGTGTGTGTTATTTTTTTGGGGGGTGGAATGTATGATGGGAGTACTAATTTGATTAAAACCAGAAGTTTCTGGAAAAACTCAGCAGGTCAGAGGAAAGGTCACCGGACCTGAAACATTAACTCTGATTTTTCTTTACAGATGCTGCCAGATCTGCTGAGCTTTTCCAGCAACTTTTGTATTTGTTCCTGATTTACAGCATCTGCAGTTCTTTCGGTTTCTACTAATTTGATCCTTTGACATTGCTGCCACAAATATTTTTTGATAGATATGTTCTTAAGTGTATTGGTGTGAAAACTGTTGTGGTAGAACCACACATTGAATATGTAAGATTCCTAATTTTACAAGGTTATAAAATGTGATGTGCTGTTGCATGTTTTTGATGTGGAGTAATTTGGAGCAGTGCCAGCTTAGATTCAAACAGCATTTACAGCCAAACAGGGGAAATAAAATCAGATATGTGTTGGAGCTACTTTTATTGCTGGAGTGCTGGAAATACCATGAATGCTGTTTTTTTTAGCAGAATCTTTCAAGCAAAAGTTGACTTAATTTGGTACACAGAAATTCACATTCTTTTTGTCACACTATAAATCAAGAATCTTTAGTGTGATTACTGTTTTCATACGGACTGTTCTGTTGGCTTTCAGATTAAAATTGCCGAAGCATTATTGACATTTGGAGAGTATGTTTTCAGTGAGTTGTATTTGTCTTCAATTTTGTATAAATATGTACATTGAAACTGACGATGACTTACTGCAGTTTATACACTTAAAATCTCCTTGTTTTTACTTTTTGTTTCATACTATCAAAGAGGATTTTATGTGATGTCAGTTTATGTAAATGAGTCACAGACAACACTAAAGTTTAAGTTCAATTATAATAGCTCAGATCATCGTAGATAAATTGTGGCATGTTGACAACATAAGCAGTTATTTTCACGCAAATTGGCCTGCAAATTCAGGAAAAGGAAAAAGAAAAGTAGCTTCAGTTGCAAATTTTTGAACTCACTTGTGATTCTCCTGTTTACTTTGTGTAGACAACACATTGCATTTGCCTTCACTGCTGTTTTCGAGTTCTTGTTGAAATTACAAATTAATTCTCCATTAAGCTCGTTGCAGATAGTTTAACCACGTATTGACAGCATAAGTACATTTTCATCAATGTGATTTATCACTGCAAGATAATCCAATTTTCTCCTTCCCGAAATGGATCTGCTTAAACTGTGCTTTCATTACTGTGCGTACCTGGAGCAAATTGTACTTTGAGATTCTTAAAATTACTAATTTTAAAAGTGACAAATTGAGGATTGACGGCTTGCTGAGTTACAACCAAGAACATCTATTAGCAGCTTTTATCTCCTTTCTGTTTCGTGGACTCATTTGCAAGCCTTGATGTGCTGTGTCTTAAAAGATCTTTGGCCAGATTTTCTGAGGAATGGCACCCACACTCAGATTACCACTGCGCTCTTTCTTTTATGGTAAGAATGAGCACCTTATTTCTAACAGAAGATCTCTTTATTAGTGCTGCTCCAGAGATGTGGAGTGTCCTTTAAATCTGTCGGCTGCCTTGTAGTGCAGGGTAGTCAAGCCATGCGCCTCTTTCACAGCAGTCAGTGCTGTTTTCTGTGATTTTAATGTCCAGCCGCACAGGGAGCCACTT